CTGGCCCAGAACCTGATCCAGAGATGCTCAGTGTCTGCCCAGGCGTAGAGCCCAGGCCTCCAGCCACCCCAGCGCCTGTCTCCTTCCTCTCCCTTCCCCTGCGACCTTGTTCCAGCCTCTCTCAGCCACATAACGGCACAGCTTCTCATCGGAGCATAGCTCTTCACAGTCTACAAAGAAGCTTTCCCTCGTCCCATCTGGACTAGGAGGCCTGACCCCTTTGTTTTATGGATCAGAACTGGGGATTGAGGTTGGGGATGTTTTCCAAGATCTCGCATCGGGCTAGGTAGACTGCTAAGCCATCCCATCCCTGTGGGGGTGCAGACCCTGTGGGCCCCACACTGCCCTCCACCAGGGTAGGCAGCCCACATTCGGTGCTGCCTGCCCACATGCCACGTCCGGGGCCAGCTCGTGTGGTGGGCCCAGTGGGCCTCGGTCCTGCCAGCCTGGCCTCCCCCAGCTGACAGGCAGGTCCCTTCCCTGCTGAGCCTGATGCTTCCCAATCTGTAAAATGGGCTTAATAGTCACCTACCTTCCGGGGCTTTGTGGGGATTAGAAATAATTCCTATAACATCCCAGCAGAGGGCTTGGCACACAGTAGGTGCTCAGTAAATTGCTTTTCCCTTGGGGAAGGATGGGGCACCCTCAGGTGGGGATAGAGCAGCAGGAAGCCCAGGGAGTTTGCCCAGGACGAGCAACGCCTGGACTAAATATTGCTCCTCTCCGCTCCCCTCTTCTTGAACCCCCTGTCCTCCATCTTCCTGACCCCGCTCTGTGACCTCCCGCCTCTTCTCTGCCCTGTCCCAGGGAGCTGTGCCTGGATGAGCCGCCCCGCTCTTGCTGGAGCTCCCTGTGCGGCTACCCCCAGCTGGTGACCCAGGTGCATGTCCTGGGGGCTGCTGGTCTCAAGGACTCCCCGACAGGTGCGCTGGCTCGAGGAAAGCCCCACCCTCCTCCCCTGGGAGGTTGCCCCATGTCCCCGCCCCCCTGCTGAAGACACCCAGCCTCCAGAGCTCCCCTGCCCTCGATCATTGAATGAGCAAACGTTTCCTGACATCCACTCAGGCCCAGCCCCGGGCGGAAGCTGGGTGCATAGAGAGGGACACTCAGCCTCCTGCTCTTGGGAGGCTCTAGTGAGGGGGACACTAGGGCTCGGGGACAGACAGCTGGGAGGGCTTCCTGAAGGGAGTGGCCTTTCTCCAGGCTGAGGTGTTAAGGTGTAAAGCCTGGTAAAATGGACTAGGGCGGAAGGATGCTCTGGACAGAACAACATGGGTAAAGGCCTGGAGGCCAGAGATGACCAGTATGTCCCCTCCTGGCCTGCCTCCTCTTGCATACATGAGCCCAGGCTTCTGCTCTGGGGAGAGGACCTCACCCCCAGATATCTGTTCCATCCAGGCCCAGCCCCAGCCCCCGATCCTGACCCCATCACCCCCTCCATCTCTCTAGGGGCCAACTCTTACGTGATCATCAAGTGTGAGGGGCACAAAGTCCACTCAGCCATGCAGAAGGGTACCTCGACGCCGGAGTACGATGTAAAAGGCATCTTCTACCGCAAAAAGCCAGGCCAGCCCATCACCGTCCAGGTGAGCCCGCGGGTCCTGGGGCCCCCACTTCCCCGTTCAGAGGGGCTGAGCCCGGGGTGGCAGAGCCTTTGACGGGACCCAGGAATGCTCGGTGCTGGTTCCCACTCTGTCCCCGGCACAGTGTGGCCTTGGGAATTCTCTCGCCTGCCCTCCTGGTGCCCCGGAGCCCCCTCAGCGGGGTGGGGAGTAGCTCAGCTGCTGTGATTCTGAGCCCCAGCAGGGCTGGCCAGGGACAGTGGCCATCTCTGCCGACTTCGCCCCAAAGCCTGGGGAGTGGTTCCTTAAACCCCTTGCAGGGGGCTCACCTGGAAACGTGGCACTGAAGTGGCGCGTGGCAGGTCAGAGGGCAGGGGTCAGAGGGCAGGGGTCAGTATTTTTTTTATTGTGCTGGGGCTTCCTTGTCCGCCCCGGCCCAGGTGGCCAGTGGATGACCATCCTGAGCTCATTAGCAGGAGGCCCTCTGTCCCCCGGGCCCAGGCCAGCATCTCTGTGGTGAGAAACCATCTGTAAAAAGGAACACGTAGGCACCCCTCCAGGGGAGGCAGCCCCGCAGGGGAGGCACTGCAGGTTTTCCGAATGTTCCTAACCCTGATCCAACACAGACCTAGAGATGTTGGGGTAAGAAGGACCGTAGGGGCCACTCATTTTATATTTATATATATATATTATTTTTTTTATTGATTTTTACAGAGAGGAAGGGAGAGGGATAGAGAGTTAGAAACATCGATGAGCGGGAAACATCGATCAGCTGCCTCCTGCACACCCCCTACTAGGGATGTTCCTGTAACCAAGGTACATGCCCTTGACTGGAATTGAACCCGGGACCCTTGAGTCTGCAGGCTGACGCTCTAGCCACTGAGCCAAACCGGTCAGGGCGGGGCCACTCATTTTAAAGATGGGGCCAACAAGCAGGGTGTGAGTATATCACTCTTCAAGGTCACACAGAGCTAATAGTAACACACTTAACTTTATATGTGGAAGGGGCTTGGACAGAGGAGGAAGCCAAGGCTCGGGAAAGGGCAGGCTTCCTGGGGAGGCAGGGCAATGAAGGGCGGGATCGAGGCCCTGCCAGAACTGCCAGCGGCCCCCACAGACCTACCTGTGGAGATGGCCCCCATGTTCCTCTGTCTCCCCCAGATCTGGAACCACCGAGTCCTGAAGGATGAGTTCCTGGGCCAGGTGCAGCTGAAGGCTGACCCCGATGACCTCCAGGCCCTCCACACCCTCCACCTCCGGGACCGAGACAGCCGGCAGCCCAGCGACCTGCCGGGCACCATTGCCTTGCGCATCCTCAGCAGCGCCACCCTCACGGCTGTCTGAGGCCTGGCCGCCTGCCTGGCCCCCACAGTTCTCACCGCCGTCTGCATGCCCCCAGCCAGGGATTAGCCTGGGAGCTAGGACACCGGGGTCCTTGTCCCAACTTTTCCACTGACTTGCTGTGTGACCGTGGGGGGTCTCTGGCCCTCTCTGGGCCTCAGTGTCCTGAGGACCCCACAGCATTCCTTTCTCACGGAGAAGTCTTCTTGCCTGAGATTTAAATAGCCCGCCCTTCCCCAGCTGTTCCCACTGCTAAGGGACTCTATCCATTGAAAATGTTCCCCTAAGGCCCTGCTGTCAGCCCACGGAGTGCCAAGATGCCACTGTTTACACACAAACTGCCATACCCCCGAGCCCCACCCTTGCCTCTCCTTTCCTGCAACGGCCCCCGTGCCCCGGACATCGCTTTCTCTGTCCCCAAAACTTGACTTTCTGGCCACCTTGAAAGGGCTCTCGGCCTTGGCTGGGCTCCTGCTCCGGCTGGGATTTGGGAACATGCAGGTGACACCTGTTCATTCTCTAATTCCATCCACCTGCCCAACCCTTCATTTCTCCAAGCGATTTGCCAAGTGAGTAAACGACCCCGTGAGACCCCAGGAGGAGCTCTGGGAGACCTGGCGTCCATGCTGGCCTGCAGCTCTGCTCCGAGGTCCTCTCTGGCAAGTGGTTGGATGCCCAGAGAGCTGCGGCTACCGTCTCACCCCATGTGGATTTCCTCTCCAGCCTCTGGTTTAAGCCCCCCCCCCACCCCCAGAGGTTTTGTCAGCGATGGAAAGGAAGGGCGTCTTCCTGTCTGCACGGCCCTGGTCCCAGAAGCCGTGTGCCCAGTTTGGTGGCCAGGGCCTAGGCGGGTAGGGAGGACATGTGGACGCAAGTTGGGGCGGGGGACATATTCTCAGGACCCCCTTTGCTGGGAGCACTGGGATTTCCTGGGAGAAGGGGCTCTGGGTTGTTGGTGTCAGGGCTTGGCGGGAGAGAGGGAAACCCATCACCAGACCAGAGGCTCTCCGCCAACATTCCCCCCAAAATGCAGCCAGGGAGGCCACAGCCTTCTTCTTGCTGCCCGGACCAAAATGTTCCTTTTAGTCCTCAACATTTTATATTCTTTCTGTTTTTAAAACTCTCAATTTTAACCAGGGGTTTTAAAAGGAAAACTGAAATCCTGTGCACCCCTTTTCTCTTCTTAAACTCCAGTTCTTGTGGTCCTCTGGTTTTATTTTTGTATGTTTTTATTGATTTTTTTAATTTTTTTAGATAGAGAGGAAGGGAGAGGGATAGAGGGATAGAAACAGATGAGTGAGAAACATCATCGATCTGCTGCCTCCTGTACACCCCCTACTGGGGGGATCAAGCCCGCAAACTGGGCATGTGTCCTGACTAGGAATTGAACCGGTGACCTCTTGGTTCCTGGGTTGACGCTCGACCGCTGAGCCACACCGGCTCGGCCGATTTTACTTTGATTCCACTTGGGGAGGGATGAGGAGAAGCCATACTTTCGGTCTGGAGGTGGATGAAGAAGAGGGTGTTTGTACTCTGATGTTTTGTAAGTCGGCACCAATCGTGTGGGCGCTGTGACCTGCGTAGGGTCTCTCTGCAACCCTTCTCGGGCTCCAGACCAGGCAACATAAATAAAGACGTTCAGCTAGTTCCAGAACAGGAGTTCCTGTGGGCTTGCTGGCTGGGAAGTCCTTTGGAAGCCTGGATTTCCGGCTCCGTGTCCTGGCTGGAGGCGCTGGATCCTTGACTTTGCCTCCTCACCCTGTGGCCAGCTCTGCTCCTGCGTCGGGGCCCTGGGCCACGTGAGGGCCAGGAACTGCACAACAAGGAGGACAAGACTCCTGGGCAAGCGGCGGCTTCCTCTCGAGAGCCTGGCCTGGGGCCAGGACCCTACCGATGACCAGGAGCAAACCATTCACCCTCCTGTGCCTCGACTGCCCCTCTGCCATGCGGGGCCACTGACTCCTGTTTGCCAGCACTCTCGCTAACAAGTGCTGGATAAGGGCAACCCCCGTTCTCTATGTACCTGTATGCGTGCACACTGTACACTCATGTAATCACTTCTCAATGTCTATTTCCAATGAACACTCCTGAGTCAGAGTGGAGAAGCAAGGGCTGGAGGAGCCCAGGTGGGTCTGTTCTCAGCTACATCCACCTGGGCCTTGGGTTGAACCAGGACCAACTGGCAAGCCTGTGGGCTCCAGCCCTGCCCTTGCTTTCTGCTCGGGGTGGGCCAGGCTGGATCCTGGATGTGTGGAGGACCCTGGTTGGGGATGGGGCAGGTGAGGTTGGAGTTCTGGGCTGGAGCTGGAGGGTGGCGGGGGAGAACCGTTGCTCCATGCGCCTGATGCACCCTCAGTCCACAGGGGCCTGTGCGTTTGCAGATGGGCTGGGCTTCCGGTCCACACCACCCCATCTGGGCTTCACTCCTCTCAGGGCCCACTGTGGGGCCAGGGAGACCTGTTCTGTTCTCAGAATAAACACCACAATCTCAGAAAGACCGTCCTGTGTCCGTCTGTCCCTCTGGGGGTTAGGGATAATGGAGAGAATATTTCTTAGGCCCTGGTGCCTGTCCTCTGGTCAGAGACAATGTGAGGGAGGACCTGGGCGTTCTAGCCAGGCTGGGCCCCACTGCCTGCCCATTGCATCTCTGAGCTGAGGTCACTGGGGTCATTCAGTTATTCCCTCAGCTGGCCTTGTACCAAGGCACTAGAGATGCAGGGGACCAGCCACAGCCCCTGCTCTAGTGGGAAGACCAGTAGAGCGACTCTCTGATCTGGACCAAGGTCCACAGAGAATTCCCGCTAAGGTGGTGTGGGAGTTGTAGGGAGAAGGAAGGTTAGTTCTGCTCCAATTGTGAGATGGAGGGAGCAGCCACATAAAGGGCCTCAGACAGAGGAGATGGGTGTATGAGGGTGCAGGTGGATGTGGGCAGACCAGAGTGAGCAGCTTGAGCCAAGAAGCCAGGGGTGGTGGTGGTGGGGAGAAACAGGACAGATGGTGGAGGCAGAGGAGACAGAACTCAGTCCACTGGGCTGGGTTGGGGTGAAGAGTGAGAAACACAAATGCATTAAGGCCAATCCCTAGATTTCCCCAATGGGCCATGGAGAAAAGAACATTGAATTTTGTGCCCACCTCAGCACAGGGGTGCTGAATGCATTGTGGCTGTTGCGGCATCTGGAGATCACCCCTCCCCAGCTCCCCACCACGCCTCGCCCACCCTCACAGCTCGCACCGTGTGCCTTAGGGGGCCCAGTTTTCCCATCTGTGCAGGACTGACGCTCTTGCCTGCCCAGCCTGGCTCAGGGGGGAGGTGATGGAGGTGTGGTAGGTGTCCGAGTCTAGGAGTGGGGATCATGTTCCAGAGCAGTCCCTGCGAGGGCCGCCTGGCCAGGCACACTCAGCACCCCGGGGCCTTCGGGGGCCAGGACTGTGGGGTCAGAGGAAGTCCTGACCTGCAGCGGCTCAGTCTCCTGCGTCCCTTCTCCAGGCGGAGCTGGATGCTCAGCCTGGCTCCCCAGGGGGCGCCATTGGCAGCCATGCCTGTGCCAGCAGGTGGCGCACTTGGACCACTGGATCCTGGCGGATGGGCACCCCAGCCTTGGAGTGGTCCTGGCCTGCCCCAGGTACAGCGGCTGGGCATCCAAAGAGCCCTCCCTCTGCCCAGGCGGAGAGCTGCCCCTGAAGAGGCCGCACTGGCTCCAGGCAAAGGGTGATTGCGAGGAAGTGCCAGGACTCAGCGGGATCCCCTGTTACTGTCTTTCCAATGCTAACAACGAACACTGGGCTCCTCCTTGCTTATCTGTCCCCCTTCCTCCCCTCCGTCCCCCCACTTTAAAATCATACGGTTCACCTTGCTCTGCATGTGCCCGGCTCATGCTGGGCTGAGGAAGTTTCCTGTGTGATCACTGACAGCCTCCTGCCCCTCCTCCCCAGCAGCTGTGGGGTGTTGTGAGGTGAGGAGCTTAGCGGGGGACACATCTGAGGGGAGCCCACAGGGAGGGGCCTGTGTGCACAGGGATGAGGGAGAAAGGGCTAGAACGTGGGGCTTGTGTTCATTTCCTCTCAGAGGCTCAAACAGCCGTTTATGGAGCAGAAAACAGGCCGGCAACGGGAGGCAGGGGCCAGGACTCAGCAAATCCTGCCCGTGCTGAGGGAGCAGGTGGTGTTACTGCGAATGATAGGAGGCACCTGAGGCCGGATGAGTGGTTGTAGCCCGGGCCCAAGCTGGTCCCAGCACAGGGAGG